TTGTTTGATACCTACACTTCTTCGAATGATAAAAAGCTTCATCGCTACCTTAGTTCACCAAAATGCCTCAGCACAAATGTACTATATAAATCACTATCGATCTATCTTGCAAGAAGACATGGGTAGTGAAAATGAAAGTGAGAACTCCCACTAATAAAATGAGTGAGAGTCTCAAAAGGGGGGAATAAGGGAGGAGACCACCCCTCATATTGTCTTATGCCCAATATCTGCCTCCAAAGAAAGAAGTAAAAACTAAAAGGCAGAAATGAAATCCACAGGCAGACAGCCCAGCGCCACACCCTGGACCTGGTAGTTAAAGATCGACCACTGACCTAATTGGTTCTGTTATCTATAGATTACAGACATTGTATAGAAATGCACTGTGAAAATCCCTATCTTGTTTTGTTCCGATCTAATTACCGGTGCATGCAGCACCCAGTCACGTACCCCCTGCTTGCTCAATCAGTCACGACCCTCTCACATGCACCCCCTTAGAGTTGTGAGCCCTTAAAAGCGACAGGAATTGCTCACTCAGGGGGCTCGGCTCTTGAGACAGAAGTCTTGCCGATGCCCCTGGCAGAATAAACCCCTTCCTTTTTTAACTCAGTGTCTGAGGAGTTTTGTCTGCCGCTCATCCTGCTACAATAGCAGTAAAGAATAGTTACATGTACCATCTAGCCTAAGATATAAACTAGCTAATCTCTGCTCTTCTTCACCAGCTTTTATCTTTCATAGTCTATCACCAAATCTTACAAATTCTGGTTCTAAAGGTCTTTCATATCTATTTTCTCATCTCCAACCCAATGGCTACTACCATAGTTTCAGATCTCATCTTTTCCCTACACTATTGCTTCACTTTATTACTCTCTGCCTACCAATTTCCCATGCTTCAACCTGTTCTCCATACGGTAACCAGAGAATATCCTAAAATGTGAATTTGATTTTATCTATCCTATTCTTAAAATTCTCAATATGATGGTTTCAATTTTTAGTTTATAGTTCAATTTATAGTTTAAGATTCAAGCTTTCTAACTTGAAATACAAAGGTGCTTCATGATGAGATCCCAGTCTACTTTTCTGTTCTCATCTCACACCTCTCTCTGACACTTCTTTATGCTCCAGGCATAATGCACTACTTGTCATTCTCCCCAAGCAAAACATTCTTTCTCATATTGCCAAAAGCTGCACATACTCTTTTATTTCTAAAATGTTCTTGTTTTCAAACCTCTATTTATCTTTCAAGATTAATTTCAAGCATAAACACCTTATCATGACTTCTTTGGATCTTCCTTTCAAATGGCAGGATTAATTTTCTGAACTTCTGTTTTCACATGCTGGAGTACTTAATGCACAGCTCTATTAATCCCTAACACTGTAGTCAACTATGTATGTGTTTGTGCATTTTTTTTCAGGGCCAGGACTATACCTTATACATAGTCTATGGCATGAAATAGGTACTCAATAAATATTTATGATATTTTAACTTTTTAATCTGTTGGAGCTATTGTATCAAGCACCACTTTAAAATGTTTAAATAATTTACCTCGGATTAAATGAGGGCAGATGATCTTGGAAAGCCAATGTTTTATATAATTTTATTTGAACTATTACCCAAATTACTCTTCAAAAACGCTTTAAGTAACATTGTTCCAAAAATACTGCTATGTAGGCAACATTCATAAACTTTACATTAAAGCTTTTCATATATAAAATGAATTGGCCTAATAATGTAGTTTACAAGGCAAATGTTAATGTTTAAGTTGTTAATTTGTATTTGATTTATAGTAATTTAGAGAGTATCTTGACCATCTGACTTTTTAGTTGGCAGTCCATTGTTATGTAAAACAATAGACTCACTTTTTCTTCCTAATGGTTATTTATACTACAAAGAAATTACTACAGTCACTTTTGTACATATTTTACAGTAATCAGTTATATTGCAGCAACAATACAGCATGTAGTCAAAAAAGTAAGAGTATGGTTGGTCTGACATCACCAACATTATAAATAATTAAGGCCTCTTACATTTATGGATGACCCAAGATATTCTTGGAATGATTTTTTCTAGGAATATAGTGACGAAAAGACATAATGCTTATCCACAGGGAGCTTTCAATGTAGTAATGGAGACACAAATGCAAATAAGTGATTTCCACTGAGTAAAATATGGGTGAATATAGAAACAATAGCTATTATTATGGGCTCTGTGTCAAGTACAGTAATCCTTTCTATGGCCATGGAAATTCAATGTTTTTATTCCATTTTATGGAGAAAAATAAGAGAAGAATAGTAGCTTGTTTGCTGTGTCACACCTAGTCAATGAAGATTGTAGCTTAGGTCTGCAAGTCTTCAAAGGCCATGTTCAATGCTGTCCTAGCTTTCCGTAAGAACAAGTGCATCAGAATCATCATTAACAATTACAGCGAGTCTCTATTACTGGCATGCTACCTTCTTCACTAGAGTAACTTAAAATCAAATGAAGATGTCTTAATTAAATACTTCTATAACCAGGAATGCTGTGTTAATTATTATTTCACGACTTTTTAACATTTTCTTTGAGAGAAAACACTGCGTTGTTTTAAATTTGTCAAGGTTTTTTTGGGAAGGAATGTTCTATACATTGGTTGCCTAGGTAGGTCATGATTATGTGAACAAACAAAAAGATGACATGCCCAAATACCTGTGTCTCTGAAATTCCAACATTTACCAATTCTTTTCTTTCTATTAGCTATTTTTAATTTTTTTTTCTAATTTCAAAGTGCATATATTTCCACCTTGAGTATCCTACGAGACATTTCAAATGCTGGTGGAAATGACTGCCTTTAGGAGACACAAGGAAAGCACTGAGTAATCTACACAGAAAGTAGTTCTGAAATTGTTGGTGGAGCTATACACAAATGACCAGTTTTAAGATAAGCATATCTTGTGTATCTACATATTCACAAATGATTAAAAAACTTTAAATTCTGCACCAGAGGATATCTACCGTCATTAAACGGTAGATATAGCCAGGCGCGGTGGCTCACGCCTGTAATCCCAGCACTTTAGGAGGCTGAGGTGGGTGGATCATTTGAGGTCAGGAGTTCGAGACCAGCCTAGCCAACATGAGGAAACCCGGTGTCTACTAAAAATACAAAAATTAGCCAGGCGGTAGTGGTGCACACCTGTAATCCCCGCTACTCAGGAGGCTGAGGCAGGAGAATTGCTTGAACCTGGGAGGCAGAGGTTGCAGTTAGCCGAAATCTCGCCACTACACTCCAATCTGGGTGACAGAGTGAGACCCTGTCTCAAAAAACAAAACAAAACAAAAAACAACAAAACTGGAGTCACATATGTGACTGTTGATTGAGATCAATCTCGGGGTATATCTGTGTAAGATGCACCACTGAGAGAAATCCTGGGTGTTTAGAATTAGTCACCTAAAGAAAGCAAGAAAGAGAACATCCAGATGAGGAAACCCTTCCACAAAGACAAGAAAGAATGCTAAAGCCACTCTGAAGTGTCAGGCCTCTAAGCCCAAGCCTGCAGTATACATCCAGATGGCCTGAAGCAACTGAAGAACAACAAAAAAGTGAAAATGACTGATTCCTGCCTTAACTGATGACATTACTTGGTAAAATTCCTTCTCCTGGCTCAGAAGCTCCCCAACTGAGCACCTTGTGACCCCCGCCCCTGCCCACAAGAGAACTACCCCCTTTGACTGTAATTTTCCACTACCTACCCAAATCCTGTAAAACTGCCCCACCCCTAACTCCCTTTGCTGACTCTCTTTTCAGACTTAGCACACCTGCAGCCAGATGATTAAAAAGCTTTATTGCTCACACAAAGTCTGTTTGGTGGTCTCTTCACACAGACGCGCACGACATGAAGGAATAAGATGGATACTTATCCACAAGTTGGTTTGGATGGCAAGCCTGGTGATAGCACACATACACCAAGAGGGTATGAAGTGTTTTATTACATAATGAGGTTTTTCTGGGGGAGAGCAGGATGATTCCAAGTAGGTCTCAAAATGACTGGAGAGACTTAGGAAAAGAGATTGGTATGGGTTTTCCATTGTGATTAGGGGTGTGGCCATTTTTGCACATGGTTTAAACTTCTCTCTGGTGCCAATTGAGAGAGGAGCTGTAAGTTTGTATCAGTTTTGCCAGATGTGGGGTAAAAGGGGAAGTGAAATGGGTAGGTTTAAAAGCTGTTAGCAGACAAACATAAAAACTGGAGTCAGACCCTTTATAACAGACATATTTTCCACTTTACCCAAAAATGCCATCCATTTTACAATTTTAAAACAGCCTGCATTTCATCTGACGTATCACAGACTTAGAATGCTCACATTCTAGACCAATAACCCACTGTTTTGCATCTTTACCATTTGCTGCCAAAAGTCATGGCATTTTCCTGTAATATTATCAGTTAATGAGGAAAATTAGTTATAACAAAATTCCATCTGAGGTCCTGTGTAAGAAAAAATAGACAATAAATTACTAAAGTTTATTAGTTTAAGGATATAAAACAAGTAACTCGTTGGCTCTGAGAGCCGTGAGCACCAGTATATGCTTATAATGTATCTTTTCTTTACCTGTCTCTAAAACCATCATGCTTAACTATAAGCATATTAACATGTAAGTATTAATACTTATTTTCAATTTTTCCTTACATATATAATTATGTTGTTACAATATTGCTATTTGTGCAGAGAAGTTTGTAATCTAAAATCTAGTGTGAAACACTTGAGCATGGCCACTGAAACGACTTCTCAGTAGGTTTGAAAATGGATATTTTTCTCTCTCATGGTGTCATTGGAGTGCTGCTTAAAGAAAGGAAGTAAATTCAAATGTGGTAATTCTCTTTTGGAATTATATAAATATATTTTCATTTTCTCTTTTTTAAAGGGTTGACATTCTTCCTAATGCTTAGGGGGAAATCATAGCTGAAAGTGTAAATCAATTCATTGAAAATACATTCAATACATAGTCATATTTTGAAATTATATCAATTACCATATTGATGGCTTTGAGAGGTGACAACGTGCTAGCAGCCCTCGCTGGCTCTCGGTGCCTCCTCGGTCTCCGTGTCTGCTCTGGCGGCGCTCCAGGAGCCCCTCAGCCCGCCGCTGCGTTAGGAAGGCCCCTCTCTGGGCCTCGCCAAGGCCGGAGCTGGCTCCCTCTGCTGGCGGGGAAGTGTGAAGACAGAGGCAGGCGCGGCGCTCCGGGGCTGGACCGGGTTCAGTGGCTGGGCAAGCCCCGCACTGGGCGCGGCCTGCGCCTGCTGGGCTTGACGGGAGGCTGAATCCCGTGAGTGGACCGCGGTTCCCTCTTTGCGGGATCGTTGGCCACCATAGCAGGTCTCCGTGGTTTTCTCGCTTCCTCTCTTTTCCTCTTGATTGACTGGGAGGAGCTCGCTCTGCACTGCAGGCGCACCTGGGCTAGGTGCAGCAAACTCTCTTGATGAGTGCCAGCCGGTTGTGCTTCTGGGTCCGGTGGGGACTTGGAGAACTTTTCTGTCTAGCTAAAGGATTGTAAATGCACCAATCAGCGCTCTGTGTCTAGCTAAAGGTTTGTAAATGCACCAATCAGCACTCTGTCAAAACGGACCAATTAGCATTTTGTAAAACAGACCAATCAGCTCTTTGTGAAATGGACCAATCAGCAGAATGTAGGTGAGGCCAGATAAGGGAATAAAAGCAGGCCACCCAAGCCAGCAGCCACAACCTGCTCGGGCAGCCTTCCATACTGTAGAAGCTTTGTTCTTTTGCTTTTTTAAATAAATCTTGCTGCTCCTTACTCTTTGGGCCTGTGCTGCCTTTAAGAGCTGTAACACTCACTGGGAAGCTTTGCAGCTTCACTCCTGAAGTCAGCAAGACCAGGAACCCACCAGAAGGAAGAAACTCCGGACACCTCCGAACATCAGAAGGAACAAACTCCGGACACACCATCTTTAAGAACTGTAAAGGCTTCATTATTGAAGTCAACGAAACCAAGAACCCACCAATCCTGGACACAGCTTTAAATTTATAAAGAAAAATTTGTATTGGTGTTACATTAGTTGTCATTCTAAGTAATTGCCAATATCAGAAACATAATTGTAATTCATCTTTTATTGTGATTGCAACGTTCGATATACTTAAATTTAAAATAATTAATGTTTATTGTTCCAGGAAAAAGTCTGTTGGGTTTTATAGGTGCCACAAATTATATGATGTTATATGTAAGTATTTTGAATAATAAGCTATTTTACATGAAAGTAAATAACATAAATGAGTTTTTGGCTAGAAAATACTTTTCCTATATCTTTGAAAAGATTATCTTCTTTTTTACATTTCTATTATATAGGGAACTAGAAATATATGAGTTATTTTAAAAGCTTTACTTTTTGGAGCCAAATATGAATTTAAGTAGAAGACAAATATGAAGATACATTAATTTAGGAAATATGTGCTCTGCCAAGAAGTTACATTGAGTTTAAGTTATTTAAGCCAGCAAATTGGCTTAACTCCTACATAAGAGGTAGGTGGAGCCTTTATCCCCAAGATGGCTAGATCTCTATCAGTGTATTTATTTATTTATTTCCTGAGATATAGTATTTAAAATACTTTGAGAAACAACTTTAAAGTTTCTATGCCAGGATAGCTATTATATGTTTTATTAATAAGTAGTTCATTGTTTATTAGAGGAATTGATTCACAAAATGAATAATTTCATAGGGATTAGTTTTATAATGATGATGAAACTTAGCAGTTACAGACTGACATTTTAATTTTTATTTTTATTCTTTTGGCATAAACCACCTATTTATAGAGAACTACAGGTACCACAGTTTTCAGAAGCAATAGTTACATAATGGGGCTAGTTGAAAAATTAATGAAAAATACTTTCTTATTAAAGTTTATTTTGCTGGTTCTACTAGGCTATACTGCAAATTTTCTAACTTTTTTTAAGGTTATTTAAAGCCTTGTAAAGGTGTCTATGATTACTAATTTTCCTTTCTGTGATTGATGATGTAGCTTTCATGAGAAAATACATGAATTATCAGTGCTGTACTTATTTTATGATCTATCATTAAATAAATTATAACATTCTGCCACTTCTTGATACTGAGAGAGAAGAAAATGTTCTCAGATTATGATAATAAGAAAAAGTAGAAAACCCAATGAAGTTAGTAAAGATTTGCCTTCAAAATACTTTGATTTTCTCAGAAAACCACAGTTGTTCTTTGCAATTTTCAAGTACTTTCATATTCATTGTATTATTTGATCATAATTAAATCTTAATGGAGTAGATATTGCCATAATTATACCAATTTTGCTAATGAGAAAACTGAAACTTAGATGGGTTAACTATCTTTTTGAACATATGGATTTAAATATTCATCATTGTAACAGATATATTGAAAACCCACCATATGCTGGGCATGCTCTGAGCACTAAGGATTAAGATGTAAACAAACATAAAGTCCCTGACCTAATGGAGTCTGCATTTTAGTAAGAAAGACAAACAGTAACCAAATGCATAAATAAGCGTATAGTGTTAAGTATTGGCAAAGAAAGTGAAAAAGAAGGAATCTGGGAAAGAGAATAGAGAATGATTGTGGCGAAGGTACTATCTTGGATAAGATGAATAAGAAAAACCTCATGGACAAAGTGGAATTTGAGCGAAGACATCTATTAGGTGTGGCAGTAAGCCATATAAACAGCTGGGAGAAAGCAGTCCTGGCAAAAGAAAAAATAAAAGCAAAAGATTATGAATCAGAATCATGTTTAGCATGTTGTGGATGGATCCTGAAGGTCTTATAAGATATAGCAGTGGGTCTAGAGTTCATTCCAAATGACCCGGAAAGCCACTGGAAAAATATTAGCAGTGAAAGCATGTCATGTTGTTTACATTTTTAAAAGTTTACCCTAGTTGATTGGAAGGAGGCCAAAATCTAAATAGCATGGGTGCTGACTGGGCGTAGCTCATGCTCCTAATCCCAGCACTTTGGGAGCCTGAGGGGGGGTGGACCATTTGAGGTCAGGAGTTCAAGACCAGCCTTGCCAACATGGTGAAACCCCGTCTCTACTAAAAGTACAAAAATTAGCCAGGCATAGTGGCGCGTGCCTGTAATCCTAGCTACTCGAGAGGCTGAGGCAGGAGAGCCACTTGAACCCGGGAGGCAGAGGTTGCAGTGATCCCAGATTGTGCCACTGCACTCCAGCCTGGGCGACAGAGTGAGACTCTGTCTAGAAAATAAATAAAAATAAAAATAAATCAATAGCATGGGCCCTAACAAATCAGAATGGAACATCTGTTACACCTGTTACTTCCATAGTAACACATAAACAGCTGAGCATTAGTCTGCTTGTCCCAGAGAGAGGGAATAATAGGTCATTCTAAATGCTGACTGAGTATTGACAGGAACTGATAGATAGAGTGAAAATTAATGATAGTAGTCCTGTACTCCTTTTTTCTTTTTCTTCCATTTATTTATTTATGTATTCTTATTATTTATTTGTTTATTTATTTAGAGACACAGTCTCACTCTGCCACCCAGGCTGGAGTGCAGTAGCGCAATCTCAGCTCATTGCAACCTCTGCCTCCCAGGTTCAAGTGATTCTCCTGCCTCAGCCTCCTGTGTAGCTGGGATTACACGTGTGCACCACCATGCCCAGCTAATTTTTGTATTTTTAGCAGAGATGGAGTTTTGCCATGTTGGCCAGGCTGGTCTTGAACCACCTGACCTCAGGTGATCCACCTGCCTCAGATTCCCAAAGTGCTGGGATTACAGGTGTAAGCCACCACGTCTGGTCCTTCTGTGCTCTTTTCATTATCCAATTCTCCCTTATGTTCATAAACAAAATGTTCTACTAAAAAACTTATTTTTATATACTAATATTGGAGTTAATAAGACAATTACAAATTTCATTTGAAAACTGCTTTACTTAAAGAAAGTTGTGATACTTTTCCATATAAGAATTTATAGAAAATATATTAACTATTTTTGTAAACAAATAACTGATGGCAGTCATAGAGGCTTTTCTCGGCTTAAAAGCAAAGAAAAAATTCAGCTTTACAAATTTTTCTTGACAACATATTGCCAATATATAATAAAAGTCTGAAAATTGTCTCTATGCCTTTAATGTTTTTCTCTTTTAATCAATTTCTAGCAATGTAGCTCAATGAAATAATCAAAGGTAGAGGGTAAAAATAACCATAGTAATCATAACTCTAAAGTGGTAAAAACATAAACTGAAGAAAAGTAAAGAACAACAGATAATTGAGTAAAATATATTGTAGTGAGAGTATGGACTACTATATAGTCACCAGCATCTGTTGTTTCTTGGCTTTCAAAACTGCCATTCTGACTGGTGCGAAATGGTATCTCATTGTGGTTTTGATTTGCATTTCTCTAATGATCAATTATGTTGAGGCTTTTTTTCATGTTTGTTGGCCACATAAATGTCTTTTTTTTTTTTTTTGGAAGCATCTGTTCACATCTTTTACCCACTTTTTAATGGGGTTGTTCAATGTTTTCTTGTAAATTTGTTTAATTTCCTTGTAGAATCTGGATATTAGACCTTTGTCAGATGGATAGATTGAAAAATTTTCTCCCATTCTGTAGAATGTCTGTTCACTCCGATGACAGTTTTTTGTTTTTTATTTATTTATTTATTTTTGTCTGTGTAGAAGGTCTTCAGTTTAATCAGATCCCATTTGTCAATTTTTGTTTTTGTTGCAATTGCTTTTGACATTTTCATCATGAAATTTTTTCCCAGGCCTATGTCCTGAATGGTATTGCCTAGATTTTCTTTTAGGGCTTTTTATAGTTTTGGGTTTTACATTTAATTCTTTCATTCATCTTGAGTTAATATTTGTATAATGTGTAAGGAACAGGTCCAATTTCAATTTTCTGCATATGGCTAGCCAGTTTCCCAGCACCATTTATTAAATAGTGAATCCTTTCCCCATTGCTTGTTTTTGTCAGGTTTGTCAAAGATCAGATAGTTGTAGTGGTGCTGTCTTATTTATGAGTTCTCTATTCTGTTCCATTGGACTATGTATCTGTTTTTGTACCAGTACCATGCTGTTTTGGTTACTGAAACAATAATTTTTAATAGTAAATATTATAAATTTTACTTTTAGCTTGAAAGCATGCCTAACACAGGTATACTTATGTAACAGATCTGCACATTCTGCACATACATCCCAGGACTTAAAGTAAAATTAAAAAAAAAAAAAATAGCATGCCTAATTTCACATATGATTTGCACAACTGCTTTTCCTTAAGCTCAGGTTTCTACTTATATGACTAGGGTGGAAGTAAATTTTGATTTATGTCTCTTAAAATGCATTAATGTCTCTATCAGTTTAGAAATTAAGGTCTTAGGCTTTATGTCAATTGTTTTCAAAGAATTTTTTCTAACTTATTTTAAGTTCAAGGGCACATGTGCAGGTTTGCTATATGAGTAAAACCATGTCATAGGGGTTTGTTGTACAGATTATTTCA